ATTGTACAATTTTCTTGCGTATTATAAACTTTTATTGAATATTGCATCTTATAATATAATATTCTCCAAATAAATAAATCTCGTACTTCGCACGGGTCACGTACTATATATATCCCGTGAATTTTTCTTTATTCATGTATATAATTATGAACCTGGATAAATAGCCTTAAAATTGTGCATCCCGTGCATCGCACGGGCTCTATACTAGTACTTATATTAAAAAGTGTACAATTTACCAGATTTAGTATAAAGAAAAGTCAACAATATTTATTGCATTACTATTTCCATATTATACAATCTATACTTATATAAAAAGAGATTCTATTTACTATATTTACTATCCAGAAAAGTCAACTGAATTAAATGTCATTACTATTTTGGTATTATAATATTTTATTTATTTAATTGATTTATTTATTTGTTTAATTTAAAAATGTAAGTACAATAAAAAGATTTTAATATTAAAAAAATCAAATACCAAATAAAAATGTACACTTTGACTTATTTGATTATATTTGGTATTTGATTATACCAAATATATTCCTATTTAGTATAGACATTAAATACTTACTAAAATATTTATTTGTTTTATTTGTCAAAGTTAAGTATAGATTTGTTTATATTATCAAATCATAAAAAAATATTAAATACATATTGTAAAAAAATAAATCATATAATTTTATAACAATTCTACTATACTATTTAACAATATTTTCTTTTTATTATATAATAAATATAATAATTAAATATTATAAAGTGAACAACAATAAGTAAAATTGTTATTTTCTCTTATATCAAGGGATAAATTTATATGCTAAATTAAATTTTTATTAGTATAAATGTTTTAGTGAGATAATATATTAATTATTTTACAAGCTAGCCCTAACATGCTCATATTTAATGTTTTAAAAGATGTAGAAAATAAACTTATAATAACTCTATTGTTTTTTAGACTTAAACGTTGATTAAAAGAGGTAAAAATTATTAATTTTTTATACTTAAACGTTGATTAACACCATAGATTGAGAGTTTATATTTAGTAAAATTCCTAATTGTAATAAAAAAAAAATAATTTTTGCTATATTTTAGAATATCTTTAAATTCATTATAAACAAAAAAGAAAAAAAACTACAATAAAAAAACAAGTCAGCTATATATCGATTTGTTGTACTCCTCAAATCACATTCACAATTTGGCTACAAGGAAAGAAAACTCATTGATTAAATATTATTTTGTCAGTAGTCTTAATGTACAAGAGACTTTAAGACTCCACTTGAATATTATAAAACTTTTATTGAACA